ATTCTTTCGAGACCTTGTTCTGTGGTTTCACAAACACTGGTAAACACATAATGCATATATTGTTTTTGGTATTTTTTAAAGCATGCATGACATACTGTACATAATTTGTTAAGATGCTCTTTTTAATAAACTACATGCTCTGGGGATTTATGTTATATATGGGTACTATTGTAATATGTGTTTTAAAATTTTTTAAATCCTGCAGATTACTAGGATTTGCCATGGATCCCAGAATTCTCAAATCACCTGGAAAGCTGTCTCTGTAGCATACCTCTGTAGGTATGCTTGAGGACATGAAAGTATATTCCAGGCTTTCAGGGATTTCTGAGGAGGCCAAACCCCTTTTCTTACTTGGGGCTATATTCTTCTTCCCTGGGTAGTATTGACAAATAGGTAAATGAACATGGGCTTGAAGTCAGAGAGTCCTAGTTTCCAGCCCCAGCTGTGTGACCTTGGGCTAGTTGCTTACCCTCTCTGAGCCTGTTTCTGAGAAATGAGAAATATGGTTGTTGTCAACATTAAATGAGATCATCTTTATAGAGAATATTCACAAGGTTGCCTGGCTCATGGCCAGTATTCCATAGAGTTTCAGGAAGGTGATGTTGGCAGACAGTCAATGCCAAAAAGAAGGAATCCAATTAGGCATGTGTTCCTACTCCAGTAAAGGGTCTCTTTAGACTTTTGTATGGTAAGGAGCAAAAGGAAAAGATGTTAGTAGTCTGGTAGGCAGGCTTATTAAAACTTTGATGCTTCGGGACACCTGGGTGGCTCAGTCGTTGGGTGTCTGCCTTCCGCTCCGGTCATGGTCCCAGGGTCCTGGGATCGAGCCCCACATCGGGCTCCCTGCTTGGCGGGAAGCCTGCTTCTCCCTCTCCCACTCCCCCTGCTTGTGTTCCCTCTCTCGCTCTCTCTCTGTCAAATAAATAAATAAAATCTTAAAAAATAAAAAATAGTTAATTTTAATATTAATAGAAATAATTGCCCCATGGCATCGCTCCCCCTTTTTTACTCTTTCCATGATTCTGCACTTTGCAGATTGCTCCGTAACTGTACACATAGATCTGCCTCATTTTCTCTATGGTTGTATTACAGTCCACTGTAAGAGTAGTTCCATATAGCTCCATATTTGGGTCGTTTCCTGTGTCTTTCTAGTACAAGCAGTGCTGTCATGTTATTACACTAGATCTTTGTTCACAGGTGAGAGTTTAATGGTTAAAGACATATACAGGCACATATTTTTAAGCATCCTGAATAAATGATTAGCTACGTTTGGGAAACACTGATCAAGTTGATATTCTTAGGATCATTCCTTACCTAATATGCCCCCCCCAAACTGTGTTTTCTGGGGTCTTGGCCATGTTTCTTCCTACCCTGATTCTCATAGCTTTGGAGAGATTTGGCAGAAAGAGAAGGGGGTGAAGTAGTGTACAGGAGAGGTCTGCAGACTTTGTCAATGGAGAGAAAGACCAGCAGGAGGCTAGGGACTCTCTCCTATGTGACTCAGGAAGCCAGATCAGGGTCTCTCAGCTTTGGCACTGCTGACTTTTTGCCCGGAAAATCCTTTGTCATGGCAGGGGTGTGGGGAGGGTGGAGGGTGTCTCTCCTGTGCATCTGTGCCTCCCTGGCCTCTGCCCATTAGATGCCTGTAGTCCCTCTACCCAGTTGTGACTGAAGCCATAAGTCTCCTGGAGGGAAAATCTCCCCTGACTCCCCTGCCTTAGAAACAGTGCTCCAGATGATTCACTGGTGATAAATTACTCACTGAACATTTACTACGTATCTAGCACCTGGAGCCTGAGGGTTTTATGATCTGAGTGGGGAAGCTACCACAGGAGAATGTCAACTTGCTCTCTCCCATGGAAGACAGCAATGGCCACGTGAAGGTTCTTGTCCACGTTCTCCCTCTGGTAATCCAATTCCCCTTCCTTTCTTTCTACCTCCCATTACGCAACACAGTACATGAACACAGTCTCATTGTGCAACTTCAAATAATACATTATCCTTATCACTCCCAACCTAGGGGATTCTCTTGGGGGAATAAGTATTGTTTTAAATTTAGAACTCTTCCTATGCACTTACATATTGATTTTAACATACAGAAATCAGGAGTTTTTTGCTTTTTTAACCTAAATGGGAATTCACTGTATATTTTGTTGAACCTGATATTTTTCAATTAATCCAAATAACAAACAGAAACCCGTCCATATCTGTATAATTCTACCTCATTCTTTTTTTATTTTTTTAGAAGATTTCATTTATTTATTTGACAGAGAGACACAGCGAGAGAGGGAACACAAGCAGGGGGAAATGGGAGAGGGAGAAGCAGGCTTCCCGTGGATCCCAGGACCCTGGGATCACCACCTGACCCAAAGGCAGACGCTTAATGACTGAGCCACCCAGGCGCCCCTACCTCATTCTTTTTTAAACTGCTGCATGATATTCCATATTATATGCACATCACTGGTTAATCAGTTTGCCAATTGATGAGCAATTACATTTTCAGTTTTTAAGTATTATTTTTAAGATTTTATTTATTCATTTGAGAGAGAAACAGAGCACAAGCAGGGGGAGAGGTAGAGGGAGAAGGAGAAGCAGACTCCCTGCTGAGCTGGGAGCCTGACACGGGGCTCCATTCCAGGACCTGGAGATCAGGACCTGGGCCGAGGGCAGACGCTTAACCATCTGAGCCACCCAGGTGCCCCACTTTTTAAGTATTCTAACAAAGCTGACAATGCTGCAGTTGCACGTGACGGTATACGCTTCTTTGTTTAAAAAAAAAAGGTGTGGCATATACCGAGGTACCTTTATTGATTTGGGTGATATACACAATATTAATAGTGATTGCCAAATAGCCTCACAAAAAGAGCAGTTATCACTTGAAATTCGCCCCAAATGTGATTAAGAATAGCCCTGACTCTCATCATAAGCCATTTGGGTTAAATTACCAATCTGTAAATTTTTAAAGTTTTGCAAATCTGCTTCATTAGCATTTCAATTTGGAGAGTCTTTTTGTAAAAGGAAATTTCCGAGTCCACCCTTTAAGAACCCTTCCAGGGGCTCTTCTCTGCCGTCAGAATAAACTCCAAATGCCTTAGCAAAGCTGACCCGATCCTGGGGGTGGGGGTGGGGGTGGGTGGGGATGGGTGTTCTTACTCTAGAAAACTTTAGCGGATGCTCTCCTCTAGGTTGAGTTCCATCCGATGCCTTTTTAGTCCCAGACGCCTGCCTTTGCGGGGCTCCCGTCATCCAGATCATCTCTGATCCCAGCCCTTAATAGGAGTTTCATAAATGTTGAATGAGCTAGGCCGATGGGGCAGTGGGACCTGGGGGCCAGAGGGACGCTCTCACTAGGCTCCTGGGGGCGGCCGCGAGTCTCGTCTCGGGTCAGTCCCCGAGCAGGGAATGAGAGGGGAAGCACCCAGGTCCCAACAGGCTGCTGCCGGTGCCCCTTCTCCCCAACAGAGACGCTCCAGGTGCTTCATTCCCAAATTCTCTGCAAAACTTAACGGGAAATCACATGCCTGGAACGAGAACCGACCGAGGCATCTGTGTATTTCCTTACAAAATGCTCATGGTGACCAACAGAGGGCCCAATAAAACACCTAGAGACGTAGACAGGACCCGGCTGGTGCGCCACCTAGCCTCTGAAGTGCTTCGGGAAACCTCTGGGGTGTCCGTGTAGGAGTGTGACAAATTACCTTTTAAAGACGTAACGATCCGGCGCCCCTGGGTGGCTCAGTCGTTAAGCGTCTGCCTTCGGCTGGAGTCATGATCCCGGGGTCCTGGGATCGAGCCCCGCATGGGGCTCCATCCCGGGGTCCTGGGATCGAGCCCCGCATGGGGCTCCATCCCGGGGTCCTGGGATCGAGCCCCGCATGGGGCTCCATCCCGGGGTCCTGGGATCGAGCCCCGCATGGGGCTCCATCCCGGGGTCCTGGGATCGAGCCCCGCATGGGGCTCCCTGCTCTGCAGGAAGCCTGCTTCTCCCTCTCCCACTGCTTGTGTTCCCTCTCGCTGTCTGTCAAATAAATAAAAATTAAAAAGAGAAAAAGACATAACGACGCGAAAGCAGCCCCCACACTCCCAGCTATTGGAACACTAAATGGCAATGGTGGTGACGCACAGGATGTTGCATTAAGGACCAAACAGAGCGGAGACTTTATAGACTACGGTTCCTTGGCAGCAACAGAAGGGGAAGACCTCAGCGAGCTCCCACCAGCCGGGCATTCGGCCAGCCCGCTGCAGCACTTGCCACGAACAGCAGGGTAGAAATCTTGTGTTCTCAAACTCAACAGCACTTTTCACGTGCGGCCTTTTTACACGATCTTAGGTACACGACGGGCGCTACTTTCCCCTCTCGCTTTCTCTTAAACTGTTGTCCGACAATAGTGCTGACTAATGGTGAGAGCCTGCAAGTGCCCTTAGGCGGCCGCCTGGAAATAAAAAAGTTGCTGTAAGAAGAAAAAAAAAAACCAAACAACGGGAACTTTCCCACTTGGTTTCCCTGGCACTAAACAGTGCAGAAAAGGCGGGAGAGGGGCCTCAGGGGCTAGACCCAACAAGTGAGGGAAAAAAAGTAAAGAGGACGGAAACAAGGGACAGAAGAGCCTCTGAACCTCCCCGGAGGGCACGGCGGCCCTGGGGCTCGGTCTCCTTGGCTCAGTCCAACCCCCGCGTCAATCAGATCTTTCCCGCTTTGCGATTGGCCAGGGGCTCCCTTGGCCTCCCTGGTGCCCACCTCCTAGTTGCTTGGGGTTTACTTCCCCAAAGTACACGGGCCCCACCTTGTGGAGCAACCGCTCCTGTATGGAAAACGGATCTCCGCCCAAGGGAACACATTTTAACGAATGGGAACGGCCCCACACATTTATTGGCTACTATGGGTATCGGTCAAAGAAGTTCCCACCCTGTTTTCTGACGTACCTTTAAGTCATTGGTCTCTCTCAGTGCCAATCCGTTACTAGGGAAACGAGATCCTCACAGTCTCATAGGCATGAGTCAAAGCCAATCAAGAGCCACGCCTTCATCCTGAGTCAGTACCCAATTGCTGCTCGAAGAGCCCAGAGGACGCAGTCGGGATTGGTCACCAGCCTGCTCGACCTGGCCGCAACAAGTTAGGCTGAGTCGCGGTTATATAGACCGGCGACGGAGCACGCGTGTGTGCGGACGCAGTTGCGTGAGGGGATTTTGCCTTCTGCTGTACTGTGGAGCAAAGCTTGTTCCTCTCCCGCTCAGCCGCGCAGGTACGTCAGGATGTGGGCAGGCGGGGCGGCCCAGGGACGAAGACGAGCTGGGACGCTTGTGAGAGAGAGAGAAGTCGCAGCGGCGGCGGCAGTGGGCGCCGCGCGAGGCGTGCACCCCCTCCCAAACGGCCGCAGGCGGGCGCACGGGCGCGCGGAGTTTCCCCGCCCCCTCCTCGCCGCGCTCCCACCGGCCGGCGCGCGTGGCCGTGTCCGCGTCCGCCGCGTGCGCGTGCCACGCCCAACGGCCGCGCGGGGCGAGAGCGAGCTGCGGCCGCCGCCCGGGCCCCAGGGCGATCACGGGAACCCGGGGCCCCGCGCGGCCCGCTCGCCGGCCTTTCCCGCCCGTCTCCCTCCCCCCGGCGCGCCCGCAGAGCCTTTCCTACCCGGGCGAGGGGCTCCAGTTGGCCCAGACCGGAGGAGGCTTCTTATTTAGCGGCGGGGGCGACACGAAAACGCGAGGAGGATTTTGGCTCGGGAAGCAGAAGTGCTGCCCCCGGGATTTACAGGGAGTAAAGGGGGAGCAGCGAAGGCACCGGTAATGAGTGGAAGTAATAATTACTGTTTTTTCTGAGCCCTCGCTCTGTGCCAGGCACTGTGCTGAGCAACTTGTGTGCCTCTCCTGTACTCCCACAACGGTCCGGTGAGGTAGGTACGGCGATTTTCCTTTTTGCAGTGGATTCGGACGCCCAGAGGTGCAGAGATGTGCTCACAGGCACGCCGACGGTAAGGGACAGGTATCGGGTGGAACCCAGGCCGTGTGACTGCTAGGCCCCCAGCCTGTTTCCGTCCTTGTGGCAGCGCCCTGCGCGGCTCCAGGGCGCCGTGGCCCCCGGAGCACGGGTCCCCGGGGGCAGCCTTATCCCGGAGAGGCCAGCTGCTGGGCGGAGTGCGGCGGTATTTGTGCTTGAGCCACTTGTCGGCTTCCAGGGAGAGGCGGCTTGGAAGTGGGATTGGGACAAAGGACACCAAGGGCTTTGGGCTTCCTTTCTACGAGTGTTCGCACGGAAAGCTGATGGATGGATGTGCCTTCTTCAGAGCTTTCGGAAAAAGTAGAGAAAAGACGAATAAGTGCAAATGAACGTGGACGGTGTTCCTCCGATTTAATACTCAGAGCGCGATGGTGGGAAATTTCCGGCAGCCGCAAGTTAGGCTCTGCTCTTAGACCCTGAAACCTTTTTTCGTCTTTTCTTTACCGGGGCAGACTTTTGAGAAAGACCTTCGGGAAGATAGTTTCACTTCCTCGTTTTGTAGTTGGAGAAAATGCGGGTCAGCGCGATGAGTTTCAGATCTCTCCTGCATGTGTGGGTTGAAATGTGAAGTTAGAATGGAAAGGATGGTGCCCAATTACAATATAAATTTAATCCCTGGAGCTTATGCTAGGTGAATTACGGGTGATTGAGGTGCGTTGGAAATCTTGCCCTTAGGGCAGTCGGGATCTTCTGTGGATGAAAGCCTCTCTACATTCAGTTCAATTATTTCGCGTTTACTGTTAGGCTCCTATGTATATGCCAGTGTGGAAGATCCCTTCAAAGACGAGCGTATATTTGCGATTTTTAAAAACCTGTATGCTCCCTGGCTCTAGAAAATCGTTGCAGGTCCAGACCATTACTTGACATTACAAATGTCTCTACTTGAGATAAAACTAGTAAGTTTTGGCACTAGCTCTTCTGAATTTTGCTTGGAATGGTTTTCAACCTTTTATTAGAGCCTTTAGGATTAGTCTTTTAAGAAGTTTTGGTAGTCCTTAAAAAAAACAAAAAAACAAACAAAAAAAGTTTTGGCAGTCAGAGGGAATACAAAATTCCATCCTTGCCAAGTAAATTAAAAAACTACAAGGAAGCTTAATATTTGTAAGTGTTTCCATTTACCCAGTACTTGCCATGTTTCTTAACAGAAAGTAGCAGTAGATAAAGGATCAAAATATTGTGTGGCCCACGTTCTTTAGTTGGTGTTGCCATAAATAACAGATGGCTTTAGAATATAACATTGTTTTACTTAGAACGTACCTTCGTGTAGCAATTCTAGTTTATTTAGATGGCATTACCTTACTGAATTAGCATTTTAGGTTTAAAATTTTAAAACATAGTGACAACGTTTAAACTGTTAACTTGGGAGTCCACCTAATGGTGTTATTCCTCGGAGTAAAATATATCAGAATGAAATTTCCTTTTGCATTAATTGAGAATTTTGATTCCCTTTCAAATATTTCTTAGCCTGTTCTTTCCCTCAGGCGAATGGTTATCAGTTGGGTAGGAATGTGAAAACTGGTATTTTACAATTGGTAGCGTGGCGTATCTCTTGTGCATGCATTTATTAAGAACAAATGAAGCATTGGGCGCCTGGGTGGCTCAGATGGTTGAGCGTCTGCCTTCTGCTCAGGTCATGGTCCCGGGGTCCTGGGATCGAGTCCCGCATCGGGCTCCCTGCTCTTTGGGAGCCTGCTTCTCCCTCTGCTTCTCTCTCTCTCCCTCTGTCTCATGAATAAATAAATAAAATATTAAAAAAAAAACAAAAACAAATGAAGCAGATCGTAATAATATGAGTGGTGTGCCTTCCTTCTGCCCAGCCAAGTCAGATTACTTTTGTTATTGTTAAATCCTTTCTAAGTTTTTGTACTTCTAACAGATAGAAAAGTAGGCAGTTCTTTGTTCTTTGCTGTTCTCAACTGACAGTCTGCTAAGGGTGCATCAGAAGAGTTGGTAATGTTTCTTGCTGACCTATTTCGCAGTAGTTCTTCTTTCTTGTAATTTTCACTATTTTAGTACCTTGCCTTGAAAGTAAAAGGTAAAGGTTAAAGTTTTTATAGGTTTGTGAATTGTGTATGGTTCTTAGGATGGATGGGGCAGTGTTAAAAGATGAAATTTAATATAAACCTTGAATTTGTGACAGAAACCAATTTTTTTGCCAGTTTAATAAAATTACCTCTTTGATCTTTCAACATTTTGTAATTAGATTTTTTAAAATGATATTTTAGAATTCAGATATGCATTATATGTTCATTTGCAAAGGGAGAGAATTGTTGGGAGTAGGTGGGTTGAAAAAGTGCCTGCTGCTCGGCGCCCCCCCCCCCCCTTAACAGCTAGTGGGAAAAACCTTTAGTTGCAACACTGTCCTTCCAGCAGTGGAGTTAAATTTAGACTTAGCAATTGTAATCTCACTTGTGGTTGGTGATCGCACTGGTGTTAATTTAATTAGGTTTATATGTTTTTAAATCTCAAAAATCAGCTTTTTCCTTTTTTTATTTAAGTATTCTTGGACACCCTGTTTGGCCTTGGTGGGGAAAGCTGAATTGCAAGCCTGGTGATAATGGTAAAGAGCTAGGAATAATCTGCACATGAAGAGGGGACTTTATAAAACAAAATTCAAAAAATTTCACAGGTTGTGGCCTTAATAAATGTCTTTAGATGACTTTAATAGATTTCTGCTTTTGTTCTCTGGCAGTCAGTCATGTAATATTGTTAGCTGTTCAGCTTGCTGTATTTCAGTTATTTAATAATAATTGTTTTTTAGAGATTTATTTATTAGAGATTGTGAGCGAGCTGGGGGGTGGAGTGGGTGGGGGGAGGGGCAGAGGGAGAGAGAGTCACAAGGAGACTCCGCAGTGAGTGGAGCCCCACTTAGGCTTGATCTCACAAGCCTGAGATCAGGACCTGAGCCAAAACTAGAGAGTCAGCCGCTTAACTGAGCCACCCAGGTGCCCCAGGTATTTAATAATTATTGAAGTAAATTTTAGGGGCGCCTGGGTGGTTCAGTCGTTAAGCGTCTGCGTTCGGCTCAGGTCATGATCCCGGGGTCCTGGGATCGAGTCCCGCATCAGGCTACCTGCTCAGTGGGAAGCCTGCTTCTCCCTCTCCCACTGCCCCTGCTTGTGTTCCCTCTCTCGCTGTGTCTCTCTCTGTCAAATAAATAAAATCTTTAAAGTAAATGTTAGAGATGGTTCAGAGAAGGGGGCTTCCTAGATGGGACAGACTTCTACTTTATAGGGATGTCATCCTTGGTGGCTGTTAAGTGGCTGTGTAACGGCATCATTGTGTATTTGTATAGCTCTTTTATGTTCTAGTGTTTTTGTTTATAAGGAGAACTGAAGCTCTGAAACCCAAACAGTTGTCTAAATTATTTTGTAAAGTTTGTGTATCTTGTAGGGGACTGTGGACCATTATTTGCTAGCTATTTCCTTATTCGAAAAAGTTCGAAAGATTCAGAATTTGGAAGGTATGAGTGTGACTGAACTTTTCAGGCTTTTTTAGGCTGTGCCTCGAGTATACCCTATGTGGATTCTCTGAGCTTGTGCAGTGCTGCCTCAGCTATATATGGAGTCATGGATATTTTATTTGGGTTGTAATCCAGTATTATCTAACTTACTTTGCTTTTTTACTTATTGCTCACACAGTTCCAGTTTTGGCCCTTGTGTCCTTTTAATGGTCCCCCATTATTGTTTTGTTCTTTTTAAGCATTTTCTTTATTAGGCATTTACCTTGTATTTTGCCTGTCGCAGCCCTAGAGTCAACTGTTTCTCCAAGGAGCTACCACAAAGAATTTTGAAGGGAAGTGACAGGTGGTAAATGTGAATAGTTTAGAAAATAGATTGAACAGTAGATCCAGTGATGGTGATACAAGTGAGTGCATGGGCAAGGGGGAAGGACAGAGGGACAAGCAGACTCCCTGCTGAGCAGGGAGCCTGACTCCCAGGCTCTTGGGGGGCTCGATCCCAGGACGTGAGCTGAAGTCAGACAGTCAACTGAGCCACCCAGGCACTCTGTTGAGTTAAATTTTAATATGTGATATATGAAGTGAGGTTCATTTTTTTCCCCTATATATGGATGTGTAATTGTTCCACCATTTGTTGACCAGAGTATCCTTTATCTGTTGAATTATCTGCACTTAATGTTGAAAATCCCAGTTGTCCATTTATGCGTGGGTATATTTCATAACTCTTCTGTTCCATGGATCTATTTGTTTTTACACCTAGACTATTTTAAAAATAAGTATACCTGTGAACA